ACTCATCAATCACAATCTACCTCGACACTAAGTTACTGATACAAAGTTCATTAATATTTGTTCCTTCTAGGGAGATTGATGAAGAACCACATGAGCTTCTGCTTAACACTGTTACAGTGGCCCTGCTATACTGGCCCCGCTATAGCGGCCCTAAAGCAATCTGTTCATTCCTTTTTTTCTCTATTTTGAAAAAAAAAACATTAATAAAATCACAGCTAATTATTACTTAAACTCAACTCCATATAAAAATTGTAACTCCGGTATTTATCGCATAAATTCTTAATAACAATGAAACGGATCGATATACATAACAAATGATGGGACCAAGTACATAAAAATAATGAAAATGAAAAATCTCAATAACTTATGTCATGATAAAAAAAAAATGTGGAATCGAAATAATATTGTGGTTGACAATATTTTTGCTTATAATGTTGTTGAAATAATGCAACAAAAGGAGAATTTAAAATTAAATCTGTCGATAAATATAGATCAAGAATTGATTGGCCAAAATGAAAAAAAGCAATTCAAGGAAATTGTTTCACTGAAAACGTGTATTTTCAAATCAATAGTTTGAACACCTAAAGATGTCAAGACAATGGGTACATATGAGTTTTTATTTTAAAACGCAAAAAAATGATTGAGTCATAAGATATAAAGCACGATTTTAACACCAAAAATTTGGAAAGGTCTGGCATTGGTTATCAGGAGACATATTCTCTTGTGGTAGACACAATTACCTTCAGATATCTAATAAATCTAACAGTTCATAAAAATCTTGAAATGCATCTGAATTTTTCACAACCTATTTATGTGACTCATTGGATCATGACATTTTAAAGAAAATTCCTTAAGCATTCAAAGTGTCTGAAGCATATAAAAATTTGAAAGAAATTTGTTTAACTAAGCTTCAAATATTCTTATATGGATTGATACAATAAGGACAAATATGGTATAATTAGCTTAGCAATATTTGATAAGGAAAGGATAGAAAAATAATTCTAATTGTCCTTGTATTTATATAAGAAGATTGGATCTGAATTTATTATAATACTAGGTAAAATATTCGTACTTCGCACGGGATTGAACTATTTTATTAAGCTTACATATGTTCATTCGGTAATATTCGTATTTTCGATGCATACACTACATTGTCAAGAACATTTTATCTCAAGGCAAAGTGTTCCTCCAAAATCTTAAAGTGCTATATTTTTTTAATTTTCATTTTTGTTATACAAAAATTATGAGTCAGAGAGATTTTAAGTATAAGAAAATCTCCATGGAAATAGTTGGTCAGAAGTAACAAAGTTTTCTAAATTCCAAGAAGTTATAAAGAACAACATCAGACATTAAAGAAGAGACCAAAAAGCCTCGAACAACATTTCCAAGTAAAGTGGAACATCACGTCCATACAAGAACATAATTAACTAAATTCAAATAGACGACCTTCGGCACCTTTCTTATGAACCTCCATCAATCTCTTTTTTATTATAGTATGTCGTATCATGTATATGTTAAAAATGACCCTAAAATTATTTGTATAATAAATGTTTTTCCTCATTGTCTCTGAATAGTCATTACTATTGCTTTGGTTTCATATCACCGGCCCCAACTTATTTGAAATTGAACCATAGTTATTGTTATGGTTATAGTGTGCAGTTACAAAGAATTAATGCAATTATCAACCAAGCAGTAGGTGGCATCTGAATGGAACTGTTCACAACTGGCTATTCTAAACCAAAATTTTGACACGTAACGTATTAAAATCTTCACAGCATAATTTTGTGAGCACTTGCACTCACAAATATCCACAAATAATAATAAAGACGACCTTACTTTCCTAACAGTCAAGAAGAAAAAGGCATGTTGCTTAACATACTTTTGAAAAAGATAGTCCGTCGGGTTGTATTCAAGTTTACAATTCACAAATTTAATTGAAAGAAGCCAAAAGAAAGAGTTATTACTTCTTATCAAAAAGTCAAAAAACTTTCTCAAAAGAAAGAGTTATCACTACAACATAAATGATCTTTAACGGCAATTAATAGCTTAATTTTCGCTAAATATGTATTTTCAGAGGTAATTGGTACTCTTTATAAATGTCTCTAAAGTCTATAGCAACATTGAATCTCATGACAATTAATTATTGTTGGTAAAGACTAGCACTCTTCGTTAATGTGCATATTTATTGCCGATAAAAAATAATTTTATCATAGTGTATTTTGGACATTTGTTAGTTTCAAGGAAAGTTGATCTCTTATTATGCCCGAAAAGAAGAGACGAAAAAATATGGCAAATTAGTTAACTTGTGATAAAAGAAGTGGACTAATTGTCTCTATACTAATATTCTAGAAAGAGTGCAATGGCATACAAAATGTTTGTACCTAAGAAAAAATAATCAAAATAATATACTAATTGTGGTAAGCAAGAGAGCAATCTGTTTGGTTCTTTTAACAAACTTCATCGTTGGTTCCGTATTAGTTATCACATATTTGTTGTAGTGTGGTATCAAATATAGCACAACCCACAAGCAATTTCTCAAAAAATATATGAAGAAACCGGTAGAAAGGGACAAAAGAGAAGATAAATTTTCAATCATCCTCACTAAAAATTCTAACAGAGTTCAAAAAAAGTCACCAAAATAGCAAAAAAAATTGCAATAGATACATGAATCACTATGACTTACAGTAAAAGATTAAGCTTCATGAAATGGAAGGAAAAAAACTTTGAGGAATGAAACACAATTCATAAGAAGCTTAATTAATGTATTTGAATTCGACTCCCCTATAGCGAAAAAAAACCTACAGATAATAGTGGTAGAAATAAAAGTTTTGCTTACTAAAGAACCAAATGTAATGAATTCAACCATTTCAGCAGCGTTATGAGTTGTGGATTGAGAGGTGCAAGAGTAGTAATGTCGCATTGAAATTAAAATTAATTTTATTTGTTTATATGAAGAAACCTGTAGAAAGGGACAAAAGAGAAGATCATTTTTCAATCATCATTATGACTTATAGTAAAGATTAAGCTCCATGAAATAGGAGGAAGAAAACTTTGAGGAATGAAACAAACTTCATAAGAAGCTTAATTAATGTATTTGAATTCAACTACCCTATAGCGGAAAAAAACCTACAAATAATAGTGGCAGAAAATTTCTCTATTTATAAACAACAAAGGGTAGTGTGAACAAATGCTTATTGTGCCTTATTAGAAAGGTCACAACTCTTTGGAATAGTTACAACCCTTTGGAAAGGTCATAACCCTTCATAAAAGTCACAATTTTTCATAAAAGTCGCAACTCTTCATAAAAGTCACAACATTTCATAAAAGTCACAGTTTTTCATAAACGTCATAGTTTTTCATGAAAGGGGAAGGCTAGTTTTGGAAATAAATAATTAAAAGGAAATTCTGGTTTGTGATGGCGTCACGTAGACAGGCCTAGGATTCTCTTTTATATATATATGATATATGATATGATTTGTGTATGTTAATGACTTGAATATCATTGGCACTCCTACAGAGCTTTCAAAAGTTGTTGAGTGTTTGAAGAAAGAATTTAAAATTTAAGATCTTGGTAAGACAATTTTGTCTTTGCCTATAGATTGAGCATTTGACAAATGGGATATTTATTCATCAATCAATATACACTAAAAAGATTTTAAAGCAATCTTACATGGATAATTCACACCAACTGAGTACCCCGATGATTGTGAGATCAAATAAAAGTTCATTCCAAATTCAAAAAGAATAAAGAGTTCTTGGTGATAAAACTTCATATATCTGTGTTATTAGGGCACTAATTATACCTTGCCAACAATATCAGGTCAGATATTTATTTTGCAGTAGGTTTATTGCCCAACAAGAAGATATTGAAAGGTGTTAACCATATATTCATATATTTTCAAGGAACAATTGGTCTAGGATTATTTTATTCTAATGCATCCGAATTAGAAATGATCAATTCTACAAATGTAGGATATATTTCTAACCCACAAAAAGCCCGATATCAAATAGGCTAGATAACATATTGAGGTACAATTATATCACGATGTTAACTGAAGCAAACAATAATTGTCACTTCTTCAAATCATGTAGAGATGATAGTTATTCATGTAACCAGCTGAGGTGTGTGTGGTTGAGAACAACAACTCAACATATTTATATTGTAATTATGTGATCTTACTTAGCAAACAAAGAATCCAACAATATCGTATGAAGATAGTGTTGACTGCATAGCTCAATTGATGGGAGAATACATCAAAGGAGATCGAAAAAGCATATTTTATCGAGAAAAAATTCACATATGATCTTTAATAAAATGGTAAGGTAAATGTACGACAAATTTGTTCAAGTAATACTTGCAGATTTATTCACTAATGCGTTGTCAACATCAACATTTGAGAAACTAAGATATAAAATTAGAATGTGTTATCTCTGAGATCAATTAAAACTTTCATCAAGAGTAAAATATGCAATGTACTTTTTTCCCCTTAACTAGGAATTTGTCCCATTGAATTTACCTAAAAAAAAATTTAGTGAGACAACACTCAAGACGTATTATAATATATGTGAAATCCTTTTTTTTTTCAGTGAAAATTTCCTTTTAAAGCTTTAACAAGCCACATTATTTATGGACATTCAAGGAGAAATATTATAAATGCATATGGATTTCTCTTTCGTAACTCTATTTAAAGTCCATGTACTAAATCAATGAACATCATTTAATTCTTGTAACTTGAAAAAATATTTATTATTAATAGGCGCATAAAAAAAAGTGACACAAAGACTTAACTCTCTATCATAACTGTCTTTATGGAGTACTTGTCAAGCTCCAAGTAAAATTTATATATTTCTCTTTCTTTTACGACATAAATGATATATTTAGACCATTTCCAATTGTGTTTATTCTCTTCTTTTTCTACCACGCAAACAAGTTGGTACAGCGAATACCACAATAATAATAAGACTTACCTCTGGACAAACCAGTGGGAAAGTTCATAACCATACACCACCAAATGTACTAAACCAGTGAAGGGACAGGCAGGCAAATCATTTTCCCTCAGTTAAAATAACACTTAGATTTAGATATACAAACTACAAAGGCTACACCACAAAAGTTAAAATTAACAGCAAAATGTACACAAAATACCAGCACCCAAGGCCAATGCCTAGAACCTGCCACAAAAAACTCTAAAAACAAAAACCAATAAAACTGCTAAGTGAAAAAACAGCTTTACAACACAAAAAGACTGCAACCCTCCAATGCATCTGACCTCCAAAATCAAGCATGAAAGACCACCCTAACATTTTACTTCAATAGAAGATTCGGACGCGTAGTCCCCAGGAATCTTGCAGACCACAACATGCAACATTGAGGGCCCTTAATGCACAAGCAGCAGTGTCTTTCGATGGAGATCTGTCAGCACAAAATTTACTAGCATAATTACAAAGAACTGAAACCCTGGTTTCATTTCAAACAAAGGGTACAGCTTCAATCTCTGTCCACGTTTGGTATATACTCTCTTGAATGTATTAAGCATTTGCATCTGACAAGAGATTAAGGACATCAACGTCATCAAAATTTGAGCCCAATGCAAGATCGCAAGGGGTTTTACTTTCCCCATCCAAAGCATGTGGATCAGCACCCCTGCAGTTAAATCACACACAAGGACAAATTTTAACAGATGGAGAATCCCATTGCTTACTGATACGGTTTGCAGAAGGATAAGTCTGTAAGGAAGATGCAACTTCCCATAGGAAGATTATTAAGAAATATCACCACCTAACCCAATGAAACATTAATGAGGAAATATATAAGAATAAGCACAGAATGCTACATTTGATTACCTTGCAAGAAGCAACTTAGCAAATGCAGCTTTGCCTCTTATAATACACCAATGAAGTGGTGTCTGACCACTTGAATCTGAAGAATTTACATTTGCACTGTATTGCATAAGAAGCTCTAGCATCCCTAGGTCAGCTGTTTCACAAGCAAGGTGTAGAAGGGAGCACCCATCGAAGTCCCCAACTATAAGCCTCTCACTTGGACTTGCCAAGTCCATTTCTAAGCAAGTAGAACTCTGATCAGTGTATGGTTGTTCTTGTAACAGCATTACTTTGGCAAGGGTTAAGGAAGAATTAGACACAACTTGCTTGTAAAGAGCATTAACGTCTGCTTCAGAGCTTACAATAAGGCGATACACAGCTTTCTTATCATTAGCTCGAACTGCCTCCCACATCATTTGTGCCGCAGTGTGACCGTCCTTCGTCCGACGAACAAATGATTTATCTGCATACTGTGATAATGGAAAAAATATTGAATTAATACTAACCAGGAAAGTATTGCCAAAGTTATAAAAATTAAAGTGAAGCCAATGCTATTGGAGAAAATGAACATATTATGCTTGAAAGACAGATTTTTTCTTTTCAAGTTAGACAGCCAACAATAACTCAAGTCTCCCATAAACACAAGGGCTGGCTTGCATGCAAGCCAAATGACGTAGGTGCACTTGAGTGTTTTGAACTTTAAAGACATCATTCCCCACAAACTACAGACTATGGATGTGAGAAGCAGATTACGTTTTTTGTTATTTTGTTATATAATTATTTGGGTTCTCTCTTTTTGGGAAGGGGGGGCTATGGGTTGAAGATTGAATGTCATATTTGTCCTTCTCCATAATTCGATTCCTCGGGCCACTGTTACCGAGCTCCCAAACATGTCAAGAGACTTTATTTCTAAACACATGATATCCATAGAATTTGTCAAAATCAGAGCTCCAAGAACAAAAACAGGACAAAAGGAATCTTCTTGATGGCGTTCATCTCAGACTGCACTTTTCAAGCTAGTACTTTGATATCCTTGTAGACTCACAGTGACAGGAAACTTAAAACATTACCACAAGATCTTTCGTCATATAACTCTTCACACAACCAAAGATGTCTCTTCTACAAATCTGACAGATGGAAAAGCATTAAACAACACATTTTTATAAACAATTACGGAGAATGATGGTAGACCTTTGCATGGATGAATTTCTCCTTGGTTGAAATGGGATCAGCATGACTTGGCTTGCTGATGTAGAGCTGTTGCTGTTTATCAGATCTGTATGAGCTTCAGTTTCCAATGTTTAAGCTATATCAGAAAGATGAAGATAAACTTCAGACGAGAAATGATTTGAGCAGGTAACTAACCTGGCAGCAGAAACATTAACTTGGAAAGCACCTCGAGCTTGCAGTGACTCCTCCCAGACTGAATTTGCAAAGGTATTCCCCAACGACTGAAATAAAGCTATAACAGAAGGCTCCCATACTTTGACATCAAGTGTGAGTGACCTCACCTGCAGAGAGATGATCACAACTGAGGACAAGATGCAGAAAACCAACTCAATGCACCAATATAAATGTTATAAGGGGTCGTCGGTAGCTGGTTAGAGTTTTGTTGGTATTAGAAATGTAAGGATTAGTTATGAGTGAATCTATGTATTATTTTATGCAGGTATTAATTATACATACAGGGATAAGTTATTCATGTATTAGTTATTCCACCTTCTCTCTTGCATAAAATAATACATAGATTTCCTTGTAACTTATACATGTATTAGTTATGCAGTTTCTAAATTGTCAACCAAACTTCATATTAATTTTATGCATGAATAATAACTTATTTCCAATATACCTACCAAGCATTGTATAATTTATACGGAAATTAATACATGGATAACTTGTTTCTTATCCGGCTACCAAACGACCGCCAACTGGTTGTTAACTACAGAAAGGCCATTCAAATGCAATGTTCAGAGGAGTTAAATAGATGCTCAAAACACACCTTTTCTAAACAAACTCCAACTGTCAGAAATAAGAAACTGGCATGCATCCCTTGCAAAAATTAGTCTTAAGTTTCATAATCTACCAGTACACCAATATCACAAGTATCTTTAAAGCTACCATCAAGAGAAGCACCAGAAATTTCATTTTTCTGACTATTCAGCTACCTAAGGAATTTTAAATAGTCAAATATATTGGAGCCCCGAACCAGGCAGAAATACATGGGTGTCAACCTCCTAAACAAACAAACTGGTTTTCAGTCCATAAAAATATGAGAATAAGAAACGACCTTCTAGAAGATCTTGTACCATTCTACTGCTTAAAAGTTTGAAATCTTAATAAAACTCTACAATGTTAAATACAATATAAAATCCATGGAGTTGCTAGAAGACACTTTTGGGCTTCCCAACTTTAACTTTTCTAACTAGAAACAAATGAATATGCACCTAAAAGAAATAAATTTTAGATCCTATGAATGTGCATAGAAAAGAAATTAATTTTAGATCCCAGCAAGAGGCAATATAGCCTATTGCTAATTAATACGTAGCAAAATCTAAAAGTTCACCTTTGATATATGCACACCAAGATTACGATGAACACCTGAACATTCAATACAAACAAGAACACCAAGATTTAAAGATGCCCAATCTGGTTCAGCAGCACCACAGTCAGCACATCTATCATTCCCGCATACTCTACGTAGTGTGGCAATTGGCTGTTCAGTTTTTGGAGCAGATCGTAGCTGTTGTGAATTTCTGAAAGGGCGATCATGATGTGCTGAGATAAGCCTGTCAGATGGATGGTCTTCAACTGCAGGCGGGTCAAAATCTGAACTTTCAAATGAACTGCTCTCACTGGCAGATCGATGATGACCACTTCCCATAGGACTGGCAGTCAAACACTGAAATAAAGAGTGTACATTGTTATTGATTGTGCATCGAAGTAAAGGCAACAAAAATGTATAGCAGCTTCCAATAGTTACCCTGTCAGGGGCCTGAGAACTCAACAAAGAAGCAATAACTCCTGTTATTTTCTCAATCCAATCCATTTGGTCCAAGGCACTCTCTGCCTACAATAAGAGGGAAACCGGTAAATTTTGATCTCACAAGTCTAGCACAAACTCCACCCTGCAACAACAGTGCAATGGTTGGCATGAGATATCCAAAATGAAAATTCAATAGCAATTCACCTGCAAGGTGTAGCTCTTTGTAGGGGAGATAATCCTGAAGCAAAACCGCAGATCTGATTGGTCAGCATCAACCTTTATAGTTGATGTCAAAAGGTTTACAGTATGATGAGCAACAGACTTTTCATCATGTACACCACCATGATAATGGGACGAAAGCCAGCGACTAAGAAGTCCAGAACCAAGCTCTGAACTATTTCGCTGGCCAGAATGTTGACTACCTGACCCCTGCAGATCAGAAAGTGTCAATAGACCACAAATTAGGGTTTGATGGTATCCCTTTTATATCCCAGCCTATAATACTCACAGATGGTTTTGTGTTCTGTTTGCGATAGTAGTACAACATTCCACGGCTATCAAGAACAAAGAACCTTCTTTTCCAGTCTCCCCGCAAATTTGATGAGCGCTTTGATAGATAACCTTGTCTAATGGTTTGAACCTGAAAGACCACTGTAATTTTAGCTGACTATAGGTGCAAAGGGTAAACAAAAGGAGTACTTAAGATCATGAAAGCAATAATAAAGGGTACAATAAAGTTAATGCAAAGGTTTTCAATGATATAATAGTTTCAACACCTTTCCCCTTGCAGCAGATTGCATGACAGCTTCTATTTGCTTGTGTGAACTTCTGCCAATGGCTTGTATACCATCTCCATTAGGAGATCCATTAGAACCATTGGACAACCACCTGCTCTCTCGATCTACTTGTCTCTTGTATTCTTGCATCTTTTCATTAAGAGCTGCCTTCTCATAGTTGGAGCGTTCTCGAGACTGCTGTGCGTAAGTCAGGACCTGCAAAAAATTAAATGACACTTGAATATCTACCACCTAGAGAAAGCAACAGATGTAGATTACTATTTATGCATTTCAAATATCATGTCACATCGGCATCAACTCAAGCGTTCAATAACTCCCAATTCCAGTATTCTAGGTCACCTGACAAACAATGAATCAATGCTACATAATACACTCCCTCTTTTCCAACTTATATGTGACGCAGTTTGACTCGATATGGAGTTTAAGAAAGGAACCAACTTTTGAAACTTGTGGTCTTAAACCCACAATAATATGTGTGAATACAAAAGGTTCTCATTAAGGGTAAAATAGGAACTTCAAAATAAAAATTATTTTCAAATATAGAAACTGCCATTCTTTTTGGAACGGACTAGTAATGAAATAATACTGCATAAATGGAAGAAAGGGAGTAACACATAAGAAATAGTCCTTGAAACATTTCAAGAATGTTTCCTGTGCGTGTTGAGACTCGTGAGACATGAAAAGTGCCAGCTGGGACCATTTTAAGTATAAAAAGAAAGAAGAAACTGAGGATAGTTGCAGAAGGATGCAAAGTATTCTCATTTACCGTTACCTAAATGTAAATTTTGATCATTAACCTCTCTGTAGGAAATAAACCAAAATTTGTTGCTACCTAATCTGTGATTTTAATTGAAGCGGCCTCAATCAAATATCAAATTGCCACCAATGAAACCAAAAACAAAGACAAACCTGATTGATATATGGCTCCATCTGATGCAAAAGCTCATATCCCTAAAAGATAGAAATAGAAATAGAATGTGAGAAATTGAAAACAAATAGGCTAGAATATCCCCCAACTGTATGACATGCCTGTTTGAAATAACGAAGATGAGCATCCATTGTACCACTAACTGCTTCCAGGAATTCAAACCGTTTCTTTGCTTCAACATTAGAAAGAGCGGTTACCTGGATTTAGGATTCAAAAAGAAAAAAACAAGTCAACAGGCCATTGCTATTGTGGCAACACTTTTTGAATTGAAAAGTCTAAGAGATGCTCTAGCTCCAGATTCACTCACCAAACTGAATCGAGCTTGCTCGAAAGTTGATCTTGCATTATGAAGTTCCTGGAAGAGTTATAGTCGTGTTAAGTAAGTTTTTTTCCCTTCCTTTATTTTCAAAGTAGGCAAAAATATGTGCAAAAGTTAAATAAGAGTGACTTCAGAAGGTTATAGGCAGAATGAATGGTTAGCTGCTATGTCTGTCAATACCTCCTCCAGTAAACTGGCAACATCACTTTTTGTGCCTTTCCTTAGTGACAAAAACTTCTCGCGGGCCTGCAGCATGGAGCATATAATGTTAATTGATATAATAGAAAATCCTTAAATCACCAACAGAGAAAGTGTAAAGTGTTCCTATTATTTAACTCAGAAATCCAATTATCTTGCAAGTTTTTTGTGCAAACTTAAAGAGTTCCTTCAACCCCATTGAAGTGCTTAAATATATCACCAGGAGAATTTTTTAAATGGGAGGAAATGATCAAGGTAAACCGGAATATCGTGATAATAGATATGTAGTGGCAATGCATTACAACATTTTCTGAAAATTAAGTCTTTTAATCCCATTGCCAACATATAGGAAGGTGTGGAGGACATGAATTAGGGTAGAAGGTTAGTAGGTAGGAGTGTGTTCATGCTAGTAGGTAGGAGTGCATTATCTTGGTGCCCTTACTAGTAGTCTTAGTGCTGTGCTTGTAGTTTCTTGTTCTTCGATTTTGTTGATATATGCTGTTTCGTGTAGTTCGATTGTAGTATTATTTGGTTGTAGTACTGTTCTGCTACTATTTATTGTTTTGTTACTACCTACTGTCTCTTGTACTTCCATTACATCTTTCTTTAGTCTGTTTTTGTCTTGAGCTAAGGGTCTATCGGAAACAGGTTCTCTAGACTCTACCTCACCTCTGAGGTAGAGGTATGGTTGGCGTACACTTTGCCCTCCCTAGACCTCACTCTGTGGGAATACACCGGGTATGTTGTTGTTGTTAATAGAGGAATAATTTCTGCATACAGAATAGTTATCTACAGGAAAAAATATATCTTCAGTTCATCAGATAGTGAAATTTCTAATCATCTAATGAGAATTAGGAATAAGAATACCTGATCATAAATTAGGCTTGCCTTGTCAAAGCGCTTCCGAGCTTCCTGCACAAAGAGAACTCCTTGTAGCAAATACTTACACAACCGTTTTATATTTGGGTATGTAAGCCCACAAAATCAGGTTTTTCACAAATAGATGTTTTTGTTCATTTTTAATATGACCGAGAAACCCACAAAGGCCAATGTCACATTGTTCAAAACTCGGCAGATAATGGGGCCACCCTCCACATTATCCACTAAAATACCAGACTTTTGACGATGGCAGGGTTCAAAACTGCTATGTGTGCCTATCCCACAGAGCACACACTTCGCTTAACACTAGACCAAAGTCATGGGACACTTACATATTCTGAATTAGTAATTAAAAATGCCTTTTAGAATAGAAAGGAAGTAAAAGAATGGTAGTACCTTGACATCTTGCAGATCTATGTTAACAAACTGCAGTAACCGATCATTCAGCATGTGCTCAACCTGAGAAGACAGTATGAATGTTGGAGAAGTAGGCAATTAGTTAAATGCATATGCCACTATCAGACTAAATAGATCACTTGCAGTTCTATTTTTTTTTTCTAGGGCCAACTTGTGTGTATCTCGACCATTCCATCAGGTTCCTGCTACCTCCCAACAACACAGGTACCAGATAAATCTGCCCTCAAATGCTTAGGCAGATGAGAAGAAATCACTTGCAGTTATATTTTTGTTCTTTCCACAGGAAGGAGAGCCTCGAAGGAGGAAATATCTAGAAATTAGATGATAGAATGAGTAGAGTCCGCCAGGCAAAAGAATAAAATGTCAAAGGGATCAGAAAATTTTGCAAAAGTAGAAATACAACAGCAAATAATTCAACTAGCACAAGAAGAATTTTCATAAATTACTGACAAACAAAGTCAACATTCAAATTTGCATAAAAGGAGAGAGAAAAAGAAGAGGGAACAGAAAAAAGAACCATATTTCTTTTTTATCAGGAAATAGAACCATATTTCTTAGGTCGCAGATGGTGAAACTCAGAGTTAGTGTTCTTAGGGGTCGTTTGGTTGGGAGCTAGTTATCCCAGGATAAATTATCCTGGGATAACTTATCCCATCACTATGTTATACATGGTGGGATAAGTTATTCCAAACACGTCAACCAAACAAGACATCAAAATTTTATCCCATGACTATTTTTTTTATCCTAGGACTATTTATTCTTATCCCTCACAACAAACGAGCATTTAAAGTAGATGGGCAAGATTTTAACACAGATATTGTGGAAATGAGTGTCGAGGACATAATAGAACTCAAAATAGAGCTCAATCAAAATGTGCTTACTTAGTAGCCATACACTGCATATCAAGGTGAAAAGTAACTGGTCAAGGCAATAATTCAGAAGCACACCCCACAGAAAAGGGTAATATTGAATAGATGTTTTGAAGTCATCTCTTGAAAGGCAACCAATGCTGCTTTCTGCCCCAAATAAGGAGTTGAGAAATACAGCATCAGAAGTAATATTGCGGCAATAAAATGAAATTGAGAAACAAAAGATACTGAAAACTTTACCTGTGACCGAAGAACTTCCTTATAAGTCCCGATTTCCCTCAGTGCAATAGTAAATTTAGTCATTACAGGACCTACATTTAGAACGGAGTAAGTGACTGAACAATTAATGGGTCATTATTCAACTACAGATCACATGTTGAAACTATTACTTGCAAAGTGAAGTGGGGAAGGATGAATTCATAAAGGTCAAAGCACTATAATTAGAATATTGAAAAGGTGTCTCTGCATTTAGTAGAGCCAATCTCTTTATGCAGGTCAGACAAACTTTTGATGAAAAACGCCATTTAGCTGATGCCAAAAATGAGGGGAGAAAAGTTGTGCAGATTTTCAGTCGGACACTAACTTATACTTTCTGGATACTTTGTAAGTGTTGCAAAGCAGAAGATCTTCATTTAAGTCTCACTATCACTAACAACTATAGTAAATTCTACCTAGTGAATAAGCACAACAGGTCCAGGAAGTTTTCTCAACACCCATGACATTCTCGTCAAAAATGGCATGTGAATAATTGGAGATGTGATCCCAACTCCAGATTACATAAACAAGTACCACGTTAAACCAATGATCAAGTCTCATTGTCCAGTTCCCTCAAATGGTGATACCAAATAGGCAGATACTAAAGAAACCAAAAATAAAATAAAGAATAGAGAGGGACTTGAGACTACAATCAGGATAGTGGATGACTTCTTTTTTTGGCACTAGTCAGTGAATTAGTGGTCGTTGAAACATCTATAGAAGGTTACTGGATTGTTTTCTAAAGGGAATGGCAAGGATTGAAAAAATCATATATTTCCCAGACCATAATTTTTCATGCTTCCATTGCTCTGTGAGATGTCTCTTCATCTATGAACCCACAAGAAGTGCATCTCATGTTTTGCAAATTGTTATCAACAATTGAAAAAATATTACAAAAGTGGACAGAGAAAATGGTGTGTGGAGTGCTGATCCCATTGCTCTAGGATAAACATTTGTAGCTGCGAAACATCATATGAATATATGTACCAGCTCTTTACATACCTCCAAATGCAACACTGATGGGATCATTGTGCCCCCCACCAAATGTTTCCAGGGCACTCGCGAAAGCAATATCTCCATCATATCCCTCTCCAAGTCCCTCCCTGAAAGTAGAACAGAAAACTGGATACTTGAAAACTTCTACAAATTCACCAAGGATTGGAAAAGAGGTTGGATGTTTATTAATCAACAAAACAACCATAAAAGGACTTATGAAAGCAAACTATTGAACTGATATAAACACTCAATCCCTATAACACAAATCATCAAACTTTCACTATGACCTTGCCCATTGACAGGCAGCTGAACTACCCTGCACTAATCTGATAAAAAGGTTGTGGATTTTATGCAACACTAATGGCTTCCCAAAATAATAGGTTTCAACTAGTAGAATTTTGGGAAAGATACATCAACAAGATTCTAAGAAGATTATTAAATCATTTGTTGCAGACACCAGGAAGCATACCTCTTTTTAGCTAGCAGAAGACACTCTTTCTTATTCTTTTTTCTTCTTTCTTAAAATTAGATTGTGATGCAAAACCAACTATTTTAGAAGTTCATAGTTCAATAAAAACTTCATTATAAGAAAGAATCTACAAAAATGAAAATAGAAAGATAAAAATCAAGCAGTCATTAGGGCATTAAGTGATACCACCAGAAACTAATGATGTCTACATTCCATTGAAGGAAATGTGTAGTGAGATGAAATGACATTCATTTAGAAAAATTGAATTTCTATTAAAACAGCAATTACTGTAGATTACTCACTATTGCGTCGGCATTCTCCATAAGAAACCAAATGAAAAAGAACAAAGCATACTTTATCAGGCCAACAATAAAAAAGAAAACAACTGAACACTCACGTATATTTTCGACATCCTTTATAGAATTTCAAGCTTCTTTCTCTTAGTGATTCAGCACTTTCTTCAAAACATTGCAGCTGTTTCACCCAAACCACAATACAAAGTGAGAGAATGTAAAAATTTTCATAATTATGGATCTTTAACTAGTGAAGCAATAATTAAGAGCTAAAAACAAAGCAAAAGAGTAAAAGAAGCAACCTGTTTACGGAACATGGGAGAGTCATCGAGTTTACCAAAATGCATGTTTACAACACTGATTCTTCTTTTCTACACCAATTCTCAATTAACATTACAAGACACCATATCAAGGGATGTTCGATCTTGCCCGATTTAAACTTTTACCAATTGCCATAACAAAGATCTACCATTTCAACTGTCGCTATCGATCTCAATTGAGTAGACAAGAGCAGAGCTCAACTGGTAACCACAAATCAAGGTGATGAATGGATGTTGGTACAAAACCCTAGAGAGGTTGGGTAGAAACCCTAGAAATGGAGAGAAAAGAAAACTCTTGGGAACTGATTATAATGTAGTAGTAGTATTGTTGTCAGCAGCAGCAAACTTCTGTAGAACTTGCCATTCTCTTTATAATTAACCATTTTTACTAAACTTGTTATACTTTACTTTTAAAAGCAGCTGAAAAGAAAGAAACTAATTCATCTTTGTTCAATAATATTTGTTCACTATACTAAAAATAATATTTATTCAATTTAAAAGAATATTTCTTTTTATTTTTTTATATATAATGGGACTGTAAAGAGGAGAGAGACACGGTTACTTACAGTGCGACGGGGGACAGACAGACAGATATTGTTACTAAAAAGACTAGCTTCTCTTCGCTTTTCCTTTTCTTTCAAAAATATATAAATAAAATAAAAAACACTTTTTTATATATATAGTATTTTGAAATTTTGAATTTAACTATTACTATTCTAATAGATACTTTATACTAAATGTAAAACCAAAAAAATCAGTTCTCACTTTTTATTTATTAATTAATGTTGACAAAATAACCTCTCTTTTGAGGGGTCGTTTGATAAAATGTATAAAAATAATATTAAATAAAATGTATTAGCAATGCTTGCATTAGTTATGCATAGATTATTTCCTATGTATTGTTTGATTTGATGTATTAAAAATAACATGCATTATACAAAAATATTTATTTATATAAATATCCTCTACAATTATGGTAAAAAAGATGTAAAAGAGATTTGAAGGATAATTGTGTCTTTAAAATGTTAATGCATGCATTAAATCATTTTTCATTACTAATACCTAGAATTCATCGTATTAGTAATACACTCTCCAATACACAATAAATTGTATAACTAATTAGCATGAAATAGTGCACCAAACAAGGTACTTCTAATAAATAAAGTTAATACATGTGTTAATTTTATTAATACACTCTACCAAATGACGAGATTGTGAAAAGATATATGTACTTGCCATCTTTTTTCAAATCCTATTTTATGAAATTTCATTAAATATGTTATTATCGTAAACTTTTTGCCCATAAAATATAGAGACTATATGCTTGCTTTTAGCTCTTTTGTGGATATATATATATATATATATATTTGTTTTGCTTTTGTCTGGTTATGTATTATGTTATTTTTATTTATTTATTACATTTGAGAAAAAAAGTTTTTCAAAGAAAAATTCCTTGTGAGACCTCAATAACTTTCATTTGAAAATATTTAAAAAAAAATATCACTGAATTCATGTTTTTTAAAACATTACTAACAATCACTCAATTATCTTGTTTTATATAATGTTTAGTTATACTTCTGCAATTTTGTTGTTAGGATCAAATATTTTTTTAATTTATTTAAATCTAAAGGTGTTTTAACAATCTTGCTTCGTGAATTTATTTTTCAATTTTAATCATATGTTGTTTTTGAATGCTTAGTTGTCCTAAACAATTTGACCACTTTGTTAATTCTTTCCATCCATACTTCATAGTATTTTTATATCACTATACTACACTGTAATGATCAACTGTGATGCGTCATTAATGTTTTGAAAAATATTTTTCAAATTAACTTAATTTCCTCAAATTTAAAGAAAATGACTTCTCTTTCAAAAATAAGAAAAACATTTTTCAAAATCATTTTAAACTTCTCACCTCAACTTTTCATCCTAATTTATATCTCAGCTATTGATTCTCAATATTAATCCTAGATTTGACTCCTGATTCTCAATTCGAGACCCGACTCTCGACCTTGATTCGAGACCGAACTCGTGAGTTCTAGATTGAATCGGGGTCAGATCTCGAGTTAGAATCAAAGGTCAAATTTTGGATCAAGTGTCGGGGTCAAGTCCTGAATAAGGTGTTGGATGGGGGTTTCGAGTCGGGTGTCAAAGTTAGATTTTGGGTTGAGAGTCAAGGTTACGTGTCATCAAAGACGGTTTTTGGGTTGAGAGTCGAGGTCGGGTCTCATACCAGGTGTCGAGTTTGAATCTAGAATCAATTGTCAAGGTCAAATGTCGAATTTGTATCCCGTTTTGAAAGTTGGGTCCTGAATTGGGTGTCGAAACTTGGGTCGGGTTCCGATTTGGGTGTCGGGATCATATTCCAGTTCGAATGTCGGGTCTCTAGTAGATTAGTTCCTAGGTTAGGTCTTGGGATCGTAACCTGATTCGGGTCATGGTCAGTGTCAGGTTCCAGTTCAAATATTGGGTCTCGTATCGAGAGTAGAGGGCAGGTTTCAGATCAGGTGTTAGGGTCCAACGCCGGATCATTTATTAGATTGATTATTTAGGTTAGAAACTATTTTTCTAAAAAATATTTTGTACACTCTACACAAAAATAAAAGATATTTTCTAAAAATGTTTTTCATTCACCATTTATATACTAGAAAATATTTTTATACTTACCAACCAAACATAAGAAAATAACTTAGAAATCAACTTATTTTCCAAGAACACATTTTTCATGGATAACATTTTTCTTTTATACCAAACACACCTTTAATGAATTGTTTAAGAAATGGAATTCTGCAGTGTCGTCTATGTCAAATTAATTCATTTTACTATGAGAAAATGGCCAAAAGCCTCCCCAACCTATATCCGGATTTTCAACTACACACTTTAATTTTACAGGAGTCTTATTCACCCCCCTGAACTGTCTAAAACTGAAATAATTACCTCCTTGAATGCTTAGCTGGCAAAGTGAGTGTATTTCATTCTCTTTGAAAGAGTGAGCACAAAAGGCAAATATTAAAACTTTATTTTTAATATCTTTTTTTATAAATATATGTATTTTTATTTTTTATTTATTTTCATTCTCCATAGCAATAAAGATCAAATTCCACCACCATTCACCATCTCTAAACCGCCATTGCCACCACCATCTTCACCAGATTCACCATTGTTGATTTCACACAAGCTTTTAAAATCTCATTTAAAAATAATTTATAAACCAATCAAATCAATTAAAAATAAAATGAGATGTATTTATATCACCTAAAAAAGGGATTGGGATCATATTTGAAAAAAAAAATCAAATTAGGTTTACATCAAATCCAATTGAACTCCCAAATGAGAATGTTTTTTTTCATTTATAGATCCTTTAATTATCAATCTCAAATCTCAAGCAATCAATTACATGCTTCTTCCTCATTTTCCCCAAGAGAATTTGATTTGTTCGTCATCTCTCTTTCCCTTCCCTCACTTTTTTAAGTTTGTTTTTAGGTTTCCCTCTCTCCGCTGCTCGACTGACCGGCGAAACGCCACCATTGTCGCCGCCTCCGGCGAAAACCAAAACAACATTAAAAACCCTTCCCCCCCCCCCCCCCCGCTTCTCTCATCTCTCTCTTGTTCCTCATAATCCAATTTTGATGGACTTTGGTGTTTTAAGTAATGGTGAAGTTACTTTAGGAATTGGGAGAAGAAGTTTCTTTAGGATTTGAAGAAATTGGGAGAGTATAGGAAAAAGGGGAAAGGAGTTATAAGAAAATTGAAAAAATATATTAAATTTCCACGTGTCAAACGCGTGAAATTCACAAGTCAATATAGATGTGGTTGTGGCTTTTCAAGGGTGTAATTATTTCAGTTTTAGACAATTTAGGGGGGTGATAGGACTCCCGTAAAGTTAAAGTATGTAGTTGGAAATCCGGATATAGATTAGGGGGGCTTTTGGCCATTTTCTCTTTTACTATTGTCATCAAAATGTAATTACACAAGTTTAAACTCTATTCTCTATTGAGCAATTACATTAATCGGATATGGTGTAGAAATTGAAATAACAGGACATTATGTAAAATTTAATGATTACACATTGTAAAGATGATAAATCAGATAACTATACCAAAAGAAGTTATAATATTTTGATATGATTTAACTAATTAACCCAAAATATTACTATAAATGAAAATATAAAATCATGAGAGAACAATTTCTTTTTAAACATAATTCTTTTATTCTAAAGACTATATCATAAATGTCAGTATTGTGCTATAATATGAGAAGAAAAATTTTCAATTTATAGAGCTCCAATTTTTTTCTTCAGGAAAGTAATAGTCAAAGAGATAAGTATCAGAAATACACTTAAAATATTTCTTTTATTGAGTTTCATACCTAAACTATTGAGAGTGTGAGTTTCATACATAAACTATCATTTATTAGTTTGAGAAACACACTTCAGTGGTGTGTGTAATACACACTCTCTTTTTTTGGAAAAAACCTTGACACATGACATCCACATTGATAAAATATTTCACCTTGGCAAAAATTAAATAATAAACTATTAATATTAATTAAAAATAAAGATTAAAGTATTATTATCCCCCTAAAATATAATTTTTTTTTAAAAAAAATTAATTATTTTTCTTACCCTACTCCACTACCTCCTCCCCCCCCCCCCTCCACCCCCAGACAATCCCCCATCCTTTTATTTTTTAAATTTTCTTTTATAAAATATATTTAAATAATTCATACTTCACCCTCCCCCCAAACCACCCGCTCATTCCCAAAAAAACTTGATATTATTTTATTTTAAAAAAATAAAAATTCTACCCACCCTATTTAGCCCTCCGCTCCTAATTTTTTATTTATTTTTTTACATTTTTCTCATTTTGTGTCAGATATGTGCATACATTTTTTGAATTTTTTTTCTACTTGTGTATTGAATATAACATAAATAAAAAATTTATTTAAAAAAATGTCTTGCGGCAACAATTAAGGAATACTTTCCTAGAAAGATATATATATATATATATATATCTAACACAAAACGAGAAAAAAATTGGAAGCAAAGGATTAGGTGGAGTGAGTAGAATTATTTTTTAAAAAAATTAAAATAATATCTAAATTATTATTTGAGGGGGGAGGAGGATGAAGTAAAAAAAAATCCTTTCATAAAAGAAATTTAAACAAAAAAAAAAACTAAAACAATACGGGGGAGGGGGGGGGGGGTATACAGTGAGAGGAAGTGATGGAAGGGTTAAGAAAAATATATACGTTTTATTTTATAAAAAAATATTATTTTTTGGGGATATAATTATTTACTCTTTAATTTTAACAAATACTAATAATTTAGAGAAAAGACATAAAGTCACCACTGTAGTTGTCCCGAATTTTTAAAAAGACACTTTAACTTTGCAACCGTTCTATTACTC